TCGCTGCTCCAGAAACGAATCGAAGATTGTCATCGTCGGCAATTTTGTATTTGAAACGAATGAAAGCTGTGAAGCCTTTGACAAGGGTGGAGCCTTCATGATGTCGCTGAGCCGTTTGCTAGTCTGCATTTGCGTTCGCGTAGCCGTGGGAAGGTCTCAGACGCGGTCAATGGCGTTGTGGGTATCATAGTAGTTGGAGATACTGGTGTTGTTGCTCAGCTGATGCTGTAGAAGTCTTGCCCAGGGACCAACACGACCACAATGGAGAGGTTGTTCCCCATGAAGGCGCCCGTGCTCATCTGCTCATCAGAGTTTTATAAAGTTTTCATTCTTTTCATTTTGAGAACTCAGATCCGAGGAGTATGTTCAGCTGAAGGAGCAGGCGCTTTGCAGTAGTCTGTGGTAGCGCGGGGTTTTCTTTGTCTTTGTGATCCACTTGGCTTGTGATTCTCCAATCAGGTCTACTGTCCGCTTGGGCCCGGTTTTTACCGCGTGAATCTCAGAACTTCAGGGCGTTATCAAGAGCCAAAAAGATCTCTCAAAGCCACTCAGGAACATTCCCCCCCACCCCAACCCCCCCACCCCCAGAGTTGCAGGATCAGGCCAGGTCAGGCCGATCACTGACACTGAGCTTGCACAGGCCGGAGTGGCCTCGAGAATCTCGAAGTGATTTTCGGCTCCAGGCCAGCACTTGCACACTTTGCTGCAGAGAGCCTGTTGAGAGCCGTCCACTCATGAACGGCTGTTCCATGAGGTTCCTGTTAGTTCTGCCTCGATCCCAAACCCGAAGCGTAACGATGGCCCTTCCCTACACATCCCAAAGTCCAACTATGGCCCCTCACATCGTTCGGCCATCGAAGACAATAAAGCCTAGTTGTTTTGCTATGCACGACACGCGTCTTTCTGCGTTGAGACCGCAGGTGGTGGCTTCGTTTGCTGTTTCCAGTTCGTGGATGTGTTGATGCAGGCGTGCTCAGTGAAGCATATCCGAAACCATAACATGCAGAGCATTCACACTCAGTATATCTTGTTCGAAAGAAGGCAGTCTCTTAGACTTGGTTCTGATTAAGGCAGTGATGAAGCTTAAGTTTGGGTTTTGCGAGAGCTCCTCACCTCCTCAACGGCTTAGCTTGCGCTCGATATTCCCTTGTGCTCGCTGCCCTGATTCTTCACCCTTCCGTGTTTGAGTTGCTTGGCAAGGAGCAGCTTGCGTAAGATGTCACTATGGACCCGAAGGGATTCGACGGGAGCGTGAATTTCAATGAATTTCAATGAATTTCAATGAAATCAATGAGTTCCCGTGGCTCCGTTGCTTCCGCAGCTCCGTCGAGGTGCTGCTTTGGCACCCCGCCCAAGCGTCGAAGGCGCACGGGGAATTGGGAGAAATTTGGAGCCATTTGGGGACACGTGGGTTCGGAGATATGTGGAGATATCTGCAGATCGGAGAGATCCAAGAATCTAAGTGAGGAAAGTGAGGAGTAGCAGCGAGTAGCATGTGAGGGAAACGAAGAGACACAAGATGATGACGGGAGGTAGGCAGGCGATGGGCAAACCCTGATCAGGTTCCCGAGCTCTGTGGGATCGGATCCAGCAGGTGAAGGACTGGCTGTGAAATGCATGGCGGATCATGGCGGCTACTAGTGGATACTAGTGACATCTGCGGGTTGTCCGGTTGGCTTCCCATGACATCTCCGTTTAAGAGGGGATGTGCAAAGTGCATAAACTGCATGAATGCCACCGCGTGATGGAATCTCGTTGTGTGACAAAGTTTTGGCAGCGTGCAGGAGCAGGGAGTGCGACAGGAAGTGCGGCCGTGGCCTCTGAGTGCTGTAGAACTGCTTTTCTGCGTCGCTTCGGCTTTGCATCTGCTTTGCTGGCTCTTTGAATCTCTTTTTATTTTTCTGCAAGGAGCTGCCAAGAACTGGGCTTCGATCCTGGCCCTGCAGAATCCAGTACTGTCTGAGCCGTGTTCTTCTCGCTACCGGAGAAACAGACGTTCCATCAGTTTCAGCACTTGGATTCTGGCTGAGCACGCATGGACCAATGGAGCTGCAGCATGACGTCGCACATCGACTGTGAGCATGGGGCTTCTTGACGTTCGAGGGCAAATGTGAAAACATGTGAAAACACGTCAAGGAAGATCTGGCGCACCTTTTCTGAAAGCCAACATACGCAGTTTTCCGGGTCTTCCGCAGCTCCAACCCAGAGCTGCTGCCCTGACCTTGTGCGACCGCTGTCGGAAGGCACTCCAGGATACTTTGCTCGATCCTTTAACAAATTGTCCACGGATACTCTGCGTGACTCCCTGCACTCCGGTTTCTGTGTGGGCATTGGGGTCCCCTGAACAGAACGCCGGCTGGAACCTACCAGCTACTTAGCCAACACCTGGCAGCCTACAGCATGCAAGGACTGTAAGCAAGCACTCGCAACTACTGGCTTTTGCATATGTCACGGAGTCAACGTCATGAACCATGCTAGGTGAGAGAGAGAGAGAGAGTGGTACAAGTTTCATGTTGAGAGAGTGGTGCCAGTTCCATGCGTGCAGTGCTTCGTGTTTTAAAGATGCTTTGTGAGACAGACTTGAAACAAACTGCAGACAAAACATGGACCTACATGATCCGTCAGCACCAATGCCGAATCATGGCCGAACAAGATACACGCGACACATGGACAGTGTAGTGCCGTGTAGGCTGGTATCAGAGGACTATGGGCCTATTGGTACCACAGCATGAGCATCAACAAGTTCATCGAGCCGCACTGTCCAAACTCTGGCTTGTTACAGCGCTACTAAGGGCACAGCGTTACATCATGAGGTGTTGCAGTGCCCCCTTCTCAAGATCATGCCTGCGCATCGCGTTCAGCTTGCAAATGGCTCCTCGGTATGGGGCCTTCGGAGCCAAGTCCTAAGCTCAGTGTTAGAGCAACACGCCCGACAAGCGGTCTTGATCGGCGTCTTCATTGGGGAGCTGCATTTCCCAGAGTGCATCTCTTGATGTGTCGATCTCGGCCGCGTCGTCATTTACACGGCGTCTGCATGGTGTTTTGCTCGTTGCAGTGCTTGCACCTACACATCCCTACGCCCAAAGCCCGACACATTGATTGGCGTCCGCATTGGGGAACAGTATATCTCGCAGAAGCATTCGACGTGTCTACTTTCAGAGTTTTCATTTTTTGTGGAACGTTGGTTGCTTGGGCCGCGTCCTTCATAGGATCGTCCGCTTACTAGGTGGATAAGTTCATGAAAGGGTCTCGGCCACCCTGATCGCCGCCACGATGACTGCCGCTGCTCCAAGCCCTGCAAAGTCCTGATCCCATGTAATATGTCTACATGAGGATTGGCATCTGAAGTATTGTCAAAAAACTGCAATAAAGATGTGCCAAAAAAGCTGGCGTGCGTTCAAATCCGGCAGTTTGACCGGCAGCTACTTTGCCAAGATGTGTAATTCAGCCGCCGACGTGTGGTTCCCGCTATGTCATCCGCTATGTAGCGTCCGTAATATGTGTATTCCCTCGCGATCTGATGTGAGAGAAACCCGCAGCATTTGAACGCGCCGAGCACGTGCAGGTTCGCGGGGTTTGCAGAAGGCTGCAGCAGCCTTTTTGCGATGCCTTTTCCTTTTTTGCTATGCCTTCTGTGCTTTGCTTTCCCATATGCTTCCGAGGCTTGAAAGCCTCTCGAAGCAATCATTGAGCCACGAAGCACCCAGGAGCAACGGGGTCCATTGCGGGTCGCATGGGTTTCCAATTGGTCTTCTGGAAGAGATTGGAGCTAGATGTGGGAGCCAGGTTCACCATGGAGTTGGCCGTTTGAGTAACGTTCGCAAGAGAAGGGGAGCACATGGGGGGCATGCCGGGCTCTCATTGGGCACACAATGGGGGGGCACTTTGGTTGTCCACACAATCTGAACATTTTGCAGAAACGAACTGCCTGAAAAGATTGCTAAAGTGGAAGTGATACCTAGTAACTTAGTAAATCCTAGTAAATGGCACGAGGAGCGTAGACAGTGTGTTGCAGCACAGTTGAATAGATTAGCCAGGAAAGCTTCAACATCCTGAGGAGAACCATCAATGCAGCCATGTGAGTGATGTGGACAGCGTCATATGTCGCGAGGCCCAGGGGCCCAGACCCAGTGCATGGGTTTCACCACAAGCACCATGCAGATCCATGCAGCAACAAGCTTGGCAGGCATTCGACTCATTCGACGCACGAGCATGCACCAGATTGATAGTTTCGTGTCGACGGGCCAGACGCTGGCAGACTGCAGTTCAACTGTTGCAGGCTGGGCTGAAGGCTTTGAAGGATTTTGAGGGCTTTCCTGGAGTCTCTTTGTTTTTTCGGAGCTCGGATGAATTCTTGTGATGTGTTTCCCTGCATCATCCAGGCCATTAAGCTCATACGAAGACGCCCGTCCTTTTATTCTGTCGGCCCGTGGTTCGATGGATTGAGTTGTGTCTGGAACAGACGCAGAGGCGACATAATGTTTAGGGTTTTGGGTTTAGGGTCAAGCCTTGAACCGCTACTTTGTGTATGAGTCTGGTGCATCTTCACAGCAGATCGTAGCAGAAAGCGACAACGGCAACTGTTGCAGGGAGTGCTGCATCGCAGCTTGGCTGTGTTTGATTGTGGGCAATACTGTCATAACATTGTGCAGATACAAGCATTCGGGGTGGTATTCTGCCTTGAATCACCTGAGCCCAGGTCATTTGGAAGTATCCGTTCATGTACATAGTGCACTCGTGAGCACGTGTGAGCGGGCTGCGTGGCATCACGCTCTCCAGCACTTCGCTTCCTTGCAGAGGCTGGAAGTACTGCGGTGTGGGGCTTCGGCAGTGAAAGCGTTCATGCAACGTGTGTGACTGTCCAGCTGCATTGCGTAGTTTGCTGGCACACTGCGTTGTGCAGGGGCAAACTGCAGCTTGACGTTATCATCTTCAGCGCCGCCATCTCTGCCTGTGAAAAGGGCTCCTTGTGGTTGGCTGCATTGGATTTACTGGCTTTGATGACGAAGCATCAGCTTCTGCCCAACCAGGCCAGTTCTGTTTGGCATCTGTGATTGCGCTTGTACTCTTGTCTTAGTTGAAGGTGACCTATGGCGCCGTCACGGCCGCATGTGAGAAGGCAGCAACCTGGCGACCGGCGCTTGCGATGCTGCAACATGCCTTGCAGCAAGATCACACAGGACTGGTATCCGCTGTCGAGCACATTGCAGTAGAGATAGTAGAGCATATTGTTGAGCACGAGAAACGCTAGGACTTATCATCAGCAGTTCTGTGCTGAGCGCCTGTGAGAAATCCAGTGCTTGGCGTGCAGCTGCTACTCTGACACAGTCCATGGCTCGTACGAGCGTGCAGTCAGACTCCTGGCAGGCATTGATAGAGGTGTTGAGTTATGTTGAGTTGAAAGAGGCTTTGTTTTTCGTGTTTTTTCGTCTTGATGTTTATGTGATGCTCCGAGGATGTCATTGCTTGCAGCGCGGTTCTGTCGTGCAATGAGAAAGCTGGACGATGGGCCCAAGCTTTGGAGAGCTTGTCCAGGTACTTGGCACTGCACCGTGTTCAGGGCAGTCCATAAGGCATGAGCGGCATAGGATCGCGAAAAGCAATTCAGTTTCAATTGTGTGTCACTTGTGTTTGCCTTGTGCCTCACTGTGCCTTGAGGCTTTTCTTGGGTGGCATGTCTCCTAGCACGGTGACACTGAATGCTTCGGTGAGCACCTGCGAATGCAACGGCCAATGGGAACGTGCTTTGGTGCAGCTCGTGTTGCTACGGAGGCGAGAAGGCAACAGGTCTTAGAGTCCAAGGCTTCAACCGGAGTCTAGCAGGTACTGGCAGCTAGCATGGAAGGCTATTGTCAAATAGGACTACTAAATAGAGGACTAGAATGCGGTGAAGCATCTGCCGCAATTGTCCATCCAGATGGGCGAGATCATCGGAAAGTGGCAGGGGGGCTGGGATCGAGTGAATTTGTGTCGGCGAGCTTGCGGTCCATGCATTCCACGTGATCGTCGAGAACGTTTCGGCGGCATTTGCAGTAGTTGATCGCAGCACAGTGCATCACTGGGAACTAAGCTCGCAGCAGCAAAGTAGAAAGCGCGCCGCATTGACTTACGTGCATTCCAGCACTCTGCCCCGCGGCATCGTAAAGTCTCGCCGTTCAGAAGATGTAAAGGGTCGATTGGACTATATTGGACTTTTGGAGTGTGGGAAGGAAGCCTTCGTGGAGATGATGCTCTCGTGGGTGCTTTCCCGAGTGATCGTTTGTCCGAGTGCTCGTCCGCATGCTCGTCCGATTGCCATGCAACGGGGGATTCCTGGCCTTCACAAGCATGTCCCAAGCAAAATCTTCGTGGAGGGGAATGACGGCACATGACGAAGCATGACGAAGCTCACGTTATCTCAGGCGAGATAATGTGAGAATGTGACCTGTGCCAGGCTTCTTCAGCCAGATGTCGTGAGCTACAGCGCGGCTGTGGTAGCATGCGGCGCAAGTGGCAAGTGGAGCGCAGCCACGCTGCTGTGGGCGGCTTTGGGGGCAAGTGCAGTGCATCCGAATAGCGTGACTCGCAATTCGCTGATCAGTGTGACCGATCTGGCATCGTAAAGCTGTTTTTGTGTTTTAGTGTTTTGTGGGTTGATCTAAATTGAGGTGCCTCCGAAAATCAGCTGACGCAACATGATGGTTTGACATGAGGCATGCGAAGAGTCTGGACAGTGGGAGCTTGCTCTGGAGGTTTTCGAGCGTGGCAGTACAGACCAGGAAACCCGCACCGTCAGAAGCATCAACTCGGGCATCAGTGCTTGTGCCCGAGGCTGTGGGTACTGCTTGGATGCGAGTTTGCAGCATACAGTTCATACAATGCACAGTCAGCAGATATCAGCAGTTACAACTACAATCTTTATTGGTGCTCGTGACTGACGTTCTGTGAAGTGAAGGCATTCTTTGGAGTGGGGCTGTGCACCTCCTTCGATCCCTCTTGCAGCCGCAACTCCGGAAGCAGCAAGTGCAGCCGACAATTGTAAGCAGCTTGTCCACGCTTGTCGTGTTTTTTTGCACAACTGAACTGCCTGATGTAATTTGATGATTGAAGCATATTGAAGCAGTCGTTTTGATGTAGTCTGAATTCTCTGTTGTGGTCTTTTGCGGCTGTTGCCGCACAGAAGCCGAGGCTTCAACTCGGCTCTGAGTGCGTGCGCTAGCTGCCAGCAATGGCAGGAGGTCATCGCGATCCTGGGAAGCTTGCGGAGGCGATGTATCGCTGTATCGACAGCGTCTCAAGAGCATAGGGTGCAAGCCGCTGCAAGCCTTGCAAGTGCTAAGCACGCGCGGCGTCGAGTTTTGTGAAGTGCAAGGCACGGCTTGCTGCCAGATGCCATCTCCTTGAATGCTGCAGCAGCAGCGCTTGAGCGTCAAGGTTGTTGGGCTCGTGGCTCAGAGGACACGCGCCGCGCAGAACCGGCGAATGACAGTTCAATACAGTGTAATACAGTTTATGATCAGAAGGTCAGTGCATCTCTGCTACTGGCAGAAGCACAGCGCGGAGCCGACCGGCTATTGGGTCCAGAGGTGTGTCAGGCATGTGTTGGACCAGGTGTTGGGGCATTGAAAACTGCAGCACGTACTGTAGCTGTACGCGATGTAAGTTGATCAAAGGATGGTTGCAGTAGTTGTGCAGCTACATGTGTTGCAGCGCACATAGTGTGAGTAGGGACATGCTGAGTGTCGATTGCTGTAGCATTCGACACTCAAATCTGCCCATTTTCAGTCTTTTCTGGCTGGCTGCATCTCGTCGCTGAACCATTCAACTGAGAGATAGTAGCTTTACACAGCAAAGTTCGAAACTCTTTGCATCACAGCCAGGTGATGACTGTCAGTACGGCCGTGGATGCAAGCCAGAGGTGATTGTCTTGCTTCATACTTCAGATTTCAGCTTACAAGTGGCCGTTTGCCAATGACGGCTTATAAGCTGCCACTGTGCACCTTGTGTCAGGCACATGCGCGCATCTCGAGTTGCAGAAATGCTCCGTGAGGTGGAATACAGTACCCCAAGCAATTTGAGAGAAACTCTACGCTCGGCGGGGAAAGTGCGCGATGGCCCGGGTTATTGAAGATACCGATGTTGAGCATGCGCTATTCTTGTTGAATATATGTAAAGTGAGTTGCTTAGAGGGCTTTGCCTTGCGGATGAGTGAGAAATCCTCACCGGCTAATGTGCACCTCTTGTCAGGCACGAACACGACCGGATTGGTTCTAGCAAAGCATCAAGTTTGCCCAGTTTGGGGCTCAGCTGTGCTTGGTGCCATGCTGCAAACGGCAAAAGCTGCCGGCTTGTGGTCTTTGCATGTCTTTGCTGTCAAGCCTCGTGCGTGGTGCACGTTTCTCAAGTAGAGGGCTTTGCGTGGAGTATAGCATGCGTGTTTTGCTTGAAGCCAACAAACGAGCAAAAGAAACGATATCAGCAATCAGCGGTGTAGTGAATTCAAAATCTTCTTTTTGCTTCTATGCGATATGATCACTTAGCTCGGATCATCAACTTTCGACCTTCGGCGCAGTTGCTCAGATTCTGGCAAGCCTTGATTTTGGTTCTTTCCGTACGCTTCTTGGCCTCTGTGAAAGCTGCACCCTGCGCAAAGACGACAGATTACGGGATGCTTTTTTCAACCCCTCACCAGGTATGTTTTAGGCTTGCAAAGCGGCTTTTTTGCTGGGTTGCGGCTTTGAGAGTTTATGGTGCGCATTTGTTGGTTCTTTAGTGGTATGTCGGTGTTGTGAGATTTTTACGCCATTGATTGGCAAGTCCCATCAAGTCCCGCACCAGACCCTCAAGCAGAATCTAGGCTTGATAGACTTATAAGGCGTCGCTGGATCTGCCGATGAAGGGAGATGTCTCCTAGCGCGGAATATGCTGGACGTGAGAATGATGTGCCACACTTGCACCTCCAATGGATTTGTTGCTTTTAGGTCTGAGCGAAGGCTCTGGTAGTTGCCCGACCAAAGTTCACAGATGTCAGTAATTCAAGCCACAGTGTTGCCGTGTTTTCTACGATGATGCATCAAGCTAGTACGCCCTTGCGGCCCACTCACCCAAAATTCCAAGTTCAATGCCCCAAATCATACCAAACAAATGTAAAGGGGTGTAAAGAGAAAGTGTGGGGTTAGGTGCAATCTGCAGGCATGCTTGATCTGCACCTTGCCGGATGCACAGCAACATCGTTTTTGCAGCATTTTGCTCAATCTTCCGGGTAGTGTTGCTTCAGTGGCACGGTATGTTGACACGGGATGCTGCGCCCGGCTCTTAGCACGACACAGCTGAGACAGTCTAGCGCCGGGTGATTGGGTGATGTGGCCAGGAGAGCGTTCCAGCGGGAGCCGCGCAGGACCAGCGGAATGCTCTGAACGACCGAAACACCTTGCTGCTCTAACCCGCCCGTCGATGTGAGATCTCTGCACGTTGAGGAGGCCAGAAGTCATCCACCCGTGCACCCATCTGCTAGCCTGCCCGCCCGCACGCACGCATGTACGTGTGCGCACGCATGCATGCTTGAAGTACATGTTCTGTTAGGTGGAGTTTCTTTGGGTATTTATGTGGTTTGGGTCATGTGTTTTTGTTTTGGTCCGTTTTCTAGGGTTTCCCTAGGAAAACCTCCATTCCATCTGTTTTTTTCATAGGGTTCATACTACTTTTCGTATTTCGTAGAATTTTTCAATGATTTTGCTCGAACCCCTCAATTGGCTCTGTTTCCTGGGTTTTCCGAAATAGCATCCCCTATGCCCTACTTTTCATATGATTTCTTATTCGTGTGAGCCTTGGGTCTGTTAACTTGGTTGTCCCGAAGAAAATCTCTTTGCCCTCTACACTTCTTCTAATATTTTTGATCGGATCCTCTATATTCCTAGGATTCATACGACTTTTCCACAGGATTTTTTTATCATTGGAACACAAATCTCGCATGATGGGTTTCAAAAACAGGTTTATATGCTTTGAAGCAAGCTTGCGTGGAGTAAAACAGCTCGCATGATGGCTTGAAACAAGCGGGGGTTTGTGTAAGCGGAGACGCAGTGATGGGTTCATATACTTTGAAGCAATCTTGCACGGCTTGTAACGCAGGGGGTGTTGGGGGCGTGCTGCTTTGAAGCAATCTTTGCTCGGATTTGACAATGCGGGGGGGTAGGAGGGGGGGCCATGTGCAAACAGCATGCTCGCATGATGGGTTTCAAAGAGATTCATATGCTTGGAAGCAACGGCTAAAAATGCAGGGGCGGGGTTTACAGGGGTTGGGGGGGGCATGTGCAAACACAATGCTCGCATGATGGGTTTGAAAAAGACTCATGTTTGCTATTCCTTGCTTGCTTGCTCGCTTCCTTCCTTCCTTCCTTCCTTTTTCTTTCTTGATGTCATGTTTCTTTATCTCTTTCTTGCTTTATTGGTTCCTTGCTTTCTTTCTTTTTTTCTTTCTTTCTTTTTCTTTATTTCTTTATTTTTCCTTATTTATTTCTTTTTTGTTCTTTCTTTACTTCTTTTTTCTTCTCCCAAGGTTTTGCTACCGAAAGGAACGATTTCCTCAAAATGCAAACGTACGATTTCCTTTCGTCATAAAGAGGGATAAGAGGGAATAGAGGTTTTCCAAGGAAAAAGCAAGGAAATGCACCAAGCAAAAAAAGCTCCCCCCCCCTCCACACAAAAAGAAAGGCTCCCCAAATTTGGCCCTCCTTTTTATCGGAGGGGAGGGGGTTGGCGCAGAATTCCTTGGGGTGCAGCAGGCCATTTGCAGGAGAACGTGAAGGGCCGTGCATGATGTGAAGCCAGAAGCCGTTCGCGAAGGCCGCCAAGGACACGGCCATGTGATGCCATGTGGCTTCTGACCAGTCTGGTACAACGTTCATGCCGGATATGCTGTGCATGGTAGGTCTGGCGTTCGACCCCATGTCAGTGATTGGACTTTCTATAAAGAAATGTATTTATGCATACGCTTTTTTTGCATGTTGTTTGTATTGAACTTGTCGTGTATCGATCTCGGTTGCTTTTGCATGTGCGATATTTTGACATCGCACATGTGAGTTCAGATGAAATTCGTGTTGAGCGGTGGTAATGGAGATCGGTGGAGAACGTGGAGAACGATCCGAGATGTTGACTCTAGAGATGATGAAAGGGTTAAACTTGCTTCAGGTGCTTGAACAGCAAGTCGCACAGCTCCTAGCAGCAGCGTCTATTTTCACTGAATGTATTCGGTGAAAAGATCTGCTGTGAACCAATCATGACTAACACCACTTACGAAAAAAGCACTAGCTATGTACAGGAGGACCACGATGTTTGCCCTCACATCCATAAGGTACGGCATGGTTTGTGTTACCTTAGGAAATGACACATCCTTGCCTTTAAGCCTGGCGGGTCCACAACAGACCCGCGCAAAACTGTGGCCCCACCAGCAAACCTGAGATGCAGGACTTAGGTCACCGCCTTTAGTGTTGAGAAATGACGCCTTTCTGCTCCCCAGTGCGCCTAAAAGCAAGAACTTCCAGCCATTTCTGCCCAGAAGAAGGTTTAACCTTTCCGGAACGGATTAGACGATGTAAACCATGGACGTCATCATGCTTGGGCCATGGATGCTCTCTTCTCATCAGAGCAGAATAGACCATGGACGTCATCATGCTTGGACCCTGGATGCTCTCTTCCCAGAACGGAGTAGACCATGGACGTCATCATGGTTGGGCCATGGCAGTGCAGAAAACATGTAGACCATGGACGTCATCATGCTTGGGCCATGGATGCTCTCTTCTCATCAGAACAGAGTAGACCATGGACGTCATCATGCTTGGGCCATGGATACTCTCTTCCCAGAACGGATTAGACTATGGACGTCATCATGGTTGGGCCATGGATGCTCTCTTCTAACTATGGTGAAGCAAACGTGTTATTTTGACCCAGGGCTGGGCAGAAGCGGGTGCAAGCAAGACAGGGCTTAGTTTAGGACACGTCGAAAGTGCGAAGTGCTGCAAAAAAACCCACAAATACCAGTGCAGTCTACGGATGCCCAAAAAATTGTTGGATGATTTTGGATGAAAATTGCGGGGATGAGGTGATGGGCGAAACCCAGGAAACATCGGTATTTGCAGGGGATTCTGAGGGCAACAGAGCTAAACTGCCGAAAACGCGTGGGTCTGTTATGGCCCCGCCTAGCCTTTAAGGCAAGGCGATATCTTCATGCAGATAAAATGCAAAAGACATGTAACGCGATAGGAGCCGTCATTTTGTGTATTGCATGTTTTCATGAAGTTCAGACGCAGCCACAGCTGTGTTAGTCATGCCTGTTGCGGACTTATGCTCGCCCTTCTCATGTACTAGGACTTCAGCTCCCTCTAAAACACTTTCTTCGGGTTGTCTCGTGACGTTTGGGGTGCATCCCTCCCTTTCCTCACGGTATCCTCACCAGACCTCTCCTTGGAAGCCTGTAGGCGACGGAGAAGTCTAGAACAGTAGAACAGTGTTTGCCATTTTCCGTGAACTTGCAGGCCTTCGCTTGGCTCCTTTGGGTGTGTGAGTGCAGCGCTTCATGGCAGAAGCTTACGGTTCAATCCCGATTCCCAAATGCGTTCCGCAAGGGTTTTACAAAATCTTCTGGTTGAACTCCTAGCCCTGGCCAGAACATGTCGCATCCCCCAACTGCAGGATCTTGCCGCTTCGATGCCACGTGTATGCGGCTCTTTGGGCATATCCTTTCGGAGAACCTGGGCTTGAGGCAGATCTGGTGGGGGAGCTGGATGCTCCTTGAGCAAGCAATCCCCTTTCCGGCTGTAGAGCCATGCGCTCCTTGTGGCCAAGCCTTGGCTCAGCAGTTGAAGCAACTTTGTCCTACAAGCACGTGCATCTCTTTCTGTGGCCTGATTCCTAGTGGGGTAGGGGTCCGGGAGGATGGTGCGATGCAATCGGCAAAGTTCACATCGCAAAACAAATAAGCGCTCTGTCGAAAAAAGATCTCTTGCAATTAGTGTACGTAACATTTCATGACTGACTCCTCGATTTGTTTTGGTTCCTCGACGTCTGCTTCTGATCTGTGTCACGGGTAAACGGTGCGAAGCTCAGCCGCACCATCCGGAGAGTTTCACCTCGGCAAGAGCCGCGCACACACAGTGATGAAAAACAGCCAGCGGGACACGCTGCAGGCAACTGCGTACCTCTCTAGGTCACTCGACCTAGTCTCACGTGGCACTTGACCGGAGAATTTAGGGTGAGACGAGATAGAGCTATTGAAGATT